TAACATTCAGAAACAAACAAGTCCAGAAATTAAAAGGTAATATTTGGTGAATTTGATTTGTGCGTAGATAATAAATTTTAATTATATTTTAGATTACTGATTGATTACTGACTTGAGATATGGCATGGAAAGCAAAATAAATTAAGCAAAGGAGAGTAAGAAAGATAATGAAATATAGCTGTAATGAATATTTGTTTATAAAAATTAAATGCAATAAATTTATTTATCAGCATAAATAAGAGTTTGATCTAACTTGTAAGAAAAATTGGTATATATTTTTAAACCTAGTTAAAGCTAAATTTGGACTGTTACAAATATGCAAAGTCATTTTGTGTTAATTTAAAAGTAGTTAACGATAATATTATTAAATAATTAGTGTAATATTTGTTGATACCTAAGGTTAAAACTTGGTATCAGTTGTCTGATCTTTGGACGTTTTAAAGACTACCCATTTATTGTTTTTTATTTGGAGTACGTACTTTAAAAAATACCAAATTATAATAAAATTTGAAATATTATTTCATAGTAGTTGTCGAAAAATAGGTGGCCTGTGTATTTATAATCAAGATAATGAAAATTGCTTAAAAAATTGAATAAGCATTGTTCATCTGAAACTTTATAACTATGAGTTATTATAGTTAGAAGCTGAATATAGTTAATAGTAAACTTGTAAATTATATGGAGAGAAATATTGTCTTGAATTCAAGAGTATTGGAATCCAAACTCTATGAACTTAGAACAAAAATCTTTATCATGTTTGAAGAGTATGTATTAAAAGATTATACCATCAGTAACCATCAATTCGAAGTTGGTCAAAGAATGTCTATATAGAGATACTGAATAAATTAGGACAATGAAAATAAAGTATATGGATGCGAGTCCACCAATGGATAAGGCAATGAAAAAGCGAGTGATCTAGTTAGAAAAGGAGCTTAGAAACTAGTAATGTGTCGGTATTTGAGTAATGCGATTTTGTAGCGGTGTTTTTTGTAACGTCGTGTCGCGCTCCAAAACGAACCAGAAAGGACTGAAGAACGACGATCATAATAACGACGAAACTATAAATTATTTATAATCGCTCTTGGAGTTAGCTCGAACCGCAGTAACCGCATAGCGACGTGTTTCGCTCCAGCCGTCGCGCTTCTAGGGTATAGCGATTTCGTCGGTCGCGAACAGTAGTAACTGTACTACCTAGCGACGCGCAACCTCGATCGCGACCTGTTTCGTTCCCGTCGCGTCGCACTCCTAGAGCCACGTGTGCGTTTGTCGCGAAGAGATTTAACTGGTAACGACCTATACCGCGATGCGTTTCGCTTCAGTTCCAGTGGTCGCGCGACTGCTGGAGCGGTCGTAGGGTCGAGTTTTCATCTGTTGCGCTTTGGCAGGTTGCTGTTGGCGTTGATGCTCCCGTTACAGTCGTTACGATACTTTCGAGATCGCGATTTTCGATAGGTCTAGGCACTACGCATTTTTGATTGATAATAAATACATGTTAGGTGCATTAGATAGTTACAAATAAAAACATTTACTAGAATAAAGAGAAACAAAGGAGAAATATGACCGAAAAATAGGAAATTAGGCGTAGGTATTTCGAATAATAATTCAAATTATGTTACTTTTTATTGTTTAAGCTAAACTATTTCTAAAGATATATAAAGTAAATAGATTTTAAGAAAAATGATAGAAAAATATAATTATCTTGCTAATATATATATATATATATATATATATATATATATATATATATATATATATACTATATATAACAACTATATATATATATATATATATATATATATATATATATATATATATATATATACTCTCTCTCTCTCTCTCTATTTTAATTTAAATTCTGACGTTTATAACGTGTATCAGGAGAATATAAATCTAAATATTATTGGCAAAAATGTAAAACTTATAAAAAGCTATTCTTTAGTCTGAAGAAAAGATGTACAATACAATAAATTATATTATTTTATATTTTTTATTTAATAGTTTTATTAGCAAAATTAAAAGCTAACATAACTAAATTCTTCTAGCCATCTGCATGTTGTTTATTGTTTACAAATTTGGGGGTTTATGAATTGTTATTTTTTATGAATTTGCACGGACATAAAGATAAGGGCAGGGATGGGAGTAGGTAGGTAAAGTGACCAGAAATACCGTTTAGGGCGGAACAGCGGCACTTTGGAAGCCGAAGCATCGGTTACAAAATAGCGGTATTTTTCCGGAACGGTCGCTATAGTAACGCTAATGTGGAACCAGTATTCCCATTACTAGTAGCACAGAATATCTAGCTACGCAACAGAAGCCTCGTTACATGTATAAAATTGTAGGTAGCAAAAGGAGACAGGCTTTAAAAGTCTGTCTCCAAATCAGATATTTTGATGTGGTAGTTTCGCTACTACATAATAGAGGGCAATAAATTTAAAAGAAAACAGTTTTCTACAAACAAAATTAAAGAAATTTTTGTGCAGTGTTACCATTAATGTAATTCATATCGTAATACTTTCGATAAAGCCTGCCTTCTAATTTGCTACATCATTTAAACATATTACAAATAGATCAAACTATTTTTCCAGTTTGCCATGTTAGTTGGAATTAAATCTTATGAGCTAAATTACAATCACTTCCTGACATTTGATTGTATAATTGAATCCTGAATTTTCATTGTAATTCGGCGACAATATAATAAGTATTGTTCTACTATTATGATACCACTTCCTGACGTTCGATTTATGTTCATACCAAGTTCATATTGTATAATCGGGAAAAAACGGCGTTAGCGATAGCTATGAAATGAATATCACTGTCATTTTATATGTAAATTTATATGGGACATGTCATCGATCGTCCTTTTCCAGCCAACTGGTGCCGTTTTTTCAGAAGCATATCAAGTGATACCATAATATAGTACTATATTACGATACGCATGGCGTTCGGTGGGCTTAAACTTGGTATACTATCTTCAGTGACATTGTAATATCATGGTACCATGGAGCATATAAAGTGGTACTTCTATAGTACTATATTTGATGACATAATATTAGGTACATGGCGGCAATGGGGCTTAAACTTGGTATACTACGTATTTTCGGTGACATTGTAATATGATGGTACTATGATGCATATCATCTGGGTACCATAATATAGTACATATTATGTACATAGTTCGATTGAGCAAATTTGGGATACTACGTATCTTCGGTGATATTAGCAATATTATGGTACCATGGAGCATAAAAAAGAGGTACCATATTACGATACCATTTCCTGGCGTTCGATTGGACTTAAACTTGTTATACTATCTTCGGTTACATTGTAATATGATGGTACTATGATGCATAGTGGTACCTTAATATGTTATATTTCAATATCATTTCCTGGCGTTCGATTGAGCTCATATTTGATATATACTTGCGTATTTTTTTGATGGTACCATGAAGCATACCAACTGAGCACCATAATGACACTATAATACGTATGGCGTTCGATTGGGCTTAAGCAGATGCTACGTACCGGTGACATTGCATGTAGTGGTACTATGATGCATATAAATTTTAATATAGTACCATATTACGTACCATTTCCTGGCGTTCGATTGGGCTCAAACTTGGTATACTACGTATCTTCAGTTTACATTGTAATATGATTGAACTATGATGTATATAAAATTGGTACATAATATAGTACCATATTACGATACCATTTCATGGTTTGATTGTTCTGAAATTTGGTATACTACGGATCTTCATTGACATTGCAATATTATAGTACCTTAAAGTATATCAAGTAGTACCATAATATAGTACACTATTATGATATCATTTCCTGGAGTTCAGTTAGGCCCATTTGAGCTCTTGCGTTTCTTTATAAAGATTTGTTTAATTAATAATTTTAATTTATTTTACGAATTTTAATTTATTGTTCGATGTCATGACAGCAACTTTTATGCCGAACAATATATTATTAGTGTACCTGTGTCACTTTTTAAAATCTACCTAGGTCTGTAAATAACGTGGCAAACAGAGAAATTTATTTATTATAGTATTTTTAGTCAGTTAACATTTTTGCTGCATTTTAATAAATTATTTCCATTATTATTAAACTTATATTTCGGCATTACTAACGTTCCAGCATTAATAAATGTCACCTCGCCCTGTATATTATTAATTTTAAAGGTAATTAAAGGTATTTTCTTAGTTAACATTATAAGGTATAGTGTATATTAAAATCTATGAAATAATATACCCAAAACTATTTAATAGCCAAAGAATAATTAATATAAGTATCTGACAAGAAAAGAAGAATAGAAAGAAACACATACTGCATTATACACAATAAAAAGAATGGGATGCCAATTCAAGTCTTTTTGAATCTGGCAACTGTGCATATTTAGCCGAGCTATAAGGCCGTCGACGAGCCGTCGATCCAAAACCGAAAGTTCAAAATTTCTAATTATATTCTGATTATTATATTGTCGCGCCATCTAGTATTCTATTTGTGCAATTTTAGCTCTTTCATTTCGAGTATTTTTCTGTTGCGTAGCTAGATATTCTGTGCTAGTAGGAACTAACTTCTGCAAAACCGTCTCAGATACCGGCTTATAGCTCAAGAGGGGGGGGCACAATAGGTCTATAAGATCGCGGGGATTTACTCCCCCCCCCCACCTCCTAAAAATCTACAATCTACAGTATATCTGTTAGATACTATATCAATTAGTTAACTGGAATCAAAACATCAGAACATCGAATCGACATTTATATGAAAATGTTTGGAACAAGTTATATGATAGTATATAAGAGTCTAATACTGTTGATTCAAGGACATATTTTTATCACTGTGGAACTACTAGAAATAGCTCAATATATTTTTCTCAAACTTTGTGTATATTCTGTACTGGTAAACAATCCTGGTAGTTTCGTATATATTTATATAACAATATGAAATTGTCCTTTCTTTGTGAGTAATAGGAATTTAGCTTTAAAACTTTTCAGAACAAACCTACCGAAGGAATTGATGGAATATGAGAACTTTCCTTACGACGAAAATGGAAAATCATTCATAACCCAACCAGAAGTTTTAGAGTATATGAAAAAGTTTGCTATTCATTATAATCTCTATCCTCATATCAAGGTAAGTTTGAGTGATATTGAATTAATGCTGAATTCTTAATATAATTAATTCCAGTTTTTAAGGCATATTATTGAAATCGATCCTCTACCCGATGAAAAATGGAAAATCAAAGAAAAGGAGCTTAAATCGCAAGAAATAACAGAACATATTTTCGATGCAGTTATGATTTGTGTGGGAAACTATTCTACTCCCAGAAATTCCAATATTCCTGGTGCCAGTGAATTCACTGGTCGAGCTATTCACAGTCACAATTACAGAAATTCAGAACCATACAAGGGAAAAAGAGTTTTAGTAATTGGAGCTGGACCTTCGGGTGTCGATATTGCAAGAATTGCGGATAAAGTAGCTGAAAAGGTAAGATAATTTTTATTGTACTGCACTTACCTCCCACACAAACATATTGTGGGTAAGTAACTGGATATATCGTCATCAATATCACTCATTTTTTGATATTCTTCGGGAGAGTGGTTTAAAGATTCTTACTACTTGCCTCAATACCAACCAAATATATATATATATATATATATATATATATATATATATATATATATATATATATATATATATATATATATATATATATATATATATATATATATATATATATATATATATATATATATATATATATATATATATATATATATATATATATATATATATATATATATATATATATATATATATATATATATATATATATATATATATATATATATATATATATATATATATATATATATATATATATATATATATATATATATATATATATATATATATATATATATATATATATATATATATATATATATATATATATATATATATATATATATATATATATATATATATATATATATATATATATATATATATATATATATATATTTGTAGTCAATGTATTTCTTTAACAAAAAAGAGACAAAGAGACATAGGGGCTTCAATATATTTTGGTTTAATATTGAAACAAAAGTTGTTAAAATACTTTACCGCTCTCCTGAAAAATATCAAAAAATGAGTTACGCCACTTAGTAATATTGACGACGATATGCACTTCATTCGAAATTGTCTTTAATGTCTGCATTAATCGAAACTTCTTCTCACTTCGGACTTCATTCTTTATGCCGCAATCAAATGTTTTGCTAAGGCAATGAAGGATCATCAGTAGAATGTAGAATGAGTACAAGGGGGGGGGGAATCACCCCGACCTTAAACCAACCCTTTATTGTGTCCCCGTCGTTTCTTGAGTTGCAGCTCATCATATTCATGATACATGGAGATCTTCCTGTTCTAGGGGGGACCGGGTATTTTCCATCCTCATCTGACAACAGATGTTCATCCTCCGCGGAGTGGGCATCTACCTCCTCCGAGGGTTCTTTGATATGTATATATGCCCTTCACAGGCGACGAGCTTGTCTCCGGTTGGGGTACCTATGAGGTAGAAGCTGGAGGATCAACCTCCATTTTCTCCACCTCTTTAACTTGGTCTTTCCTTAGACCTGATATATTCCTCTTTCTTTATTGCCTCCTTGGATTTGAAGTCAATTACACTGCAAGGATTAGTCGGTGTACTTCTACAGAGCCCCGCATGTAGAAGTAAGGGTGATGAGAATACAATAGGTTCTCCCCTGGTGCCCCAAGGTTAAGATCAGTAGAGGCTAATCTTCTCTCTAGCCACGCATCCTTTTGACCTGATCCCGGTATCATAGGATTTAGGTTTTTAACGAGGTTATCTCCTCTTGGTCCAGGCGATTAAGCTAAGACCCCCTACAACCTGCCCGTGATACATGGCCACAGACACTAGAGGGAACTAGGTATGACGGACAGGGTAGTGCCATCCGGCATCGTTATACGTCTTGGTGCAATTCCCTGGCCACGACACTACACCCAGGGACAAGACAATGAAATGCTCCTTGGACCGAGCCAAAGTGCTATGGTGGAGCGGATTCCCCCTAGCACCTGACTAGGAAATTCCCCACCAACGACAAGATTTCGCATCTCTTAGGAAGAGGATCATTTGTAATAATCCCACTGATGCCTCATTATGCCTCACAAAGTATGCCTATTAACTGAGTCTCTAGTAGTCCTACAGTTATAATACATATTGTTCAAAAAATTTATTTATTCTTTTAGGTTTATATTAGTTATGGCAGTACAATATTCTGTAAAGCTGAGGCCTGTGTAGTACACAAACCATTAGTTGAAAAATTAACAGCAAACACAGCTATCTTCGAGGATGGTAGTGAAGAAGTCATCGATGATATCATATATTGTACTGGTAAGTACACTGGATTTCAAAAAAACGCATACACGCATTTTTCCTATCCCAGAAAATTGAACTTTCAATTAGTGTATATATACATGCTACCATGCACTAGTGCCCCCAAATTTGAAAGAAACATGCCTGGCAATGAGGGTTTTGTCATTGTCTCTTCTTGTTCACATGTATATTGAATGAGCAGCTTTAAAACAAAAAAATATTCTAAAACTGAAAAAATATATTTTATCTCAAATTAAAACAAACCTTAAACATTAAAACAGTATATTATTTTAAACTAAGAAAAAAAGTAGAATAAAAAAAATGGTATTTGATGGGATCACCATTTTTCTCTATAACAAGCTGCAGGCGTCTGCAACAAGCTCTAGGCATTGAAAAGCTTAATTTTTGAAAATACTCATAGTCTTCCAAGAGCTCATCTAATGCGCCATAAATTGCATCGCTTAACTCTTCTGCATTTCTTGGTCTCCAATTCCGTTGGTATACCGGGTGCGTCTCAAAAGTGGCTCACCCTTTTAACTTTTTTAATTATTTCAAATAAAACAACGAGATTTGGTATGTTTGTATATGACATAAATTAGGATTGATTGACGTATTCAATTGTTTTCGGTCACTCCTAGTTTCACCGGATATTACTACAACTTTTGATTTTTAAATGGCACCCTCGGTATTTTTATACTTTATTCGATAGAAAATGGCACTCTGAAGAGAATGAGATATCATATGTCAACTTTTGACATAGTGACTCAAAAACAAATTGTATTTTAAATTTCAATCTAGAGTGCCATGGCTGTGTTAAAAACACTAATTTTTAAGGAGCCTTGGAAAAATAGATTTGACCGTCTAATGTTTTTAGTGTCTTTTCCTGGCCGGTTAAAAGATGTCCAAATCGTATTTTTAATCATATCTCAATTTTTTCAAATGGAACGAGGGTGGCTCATTAGCATATTTGGAAAAAGCATTTTTTTACGAATAAATTGATACCACACACTTGGTATTTCGAGTAAAATTTGTCGTTATGAACCGCATGTTACAATTTCAAATAAACCATATTCGAAAATGTCAAAAGTTGACATATGATACTTCATTCTATTCAGAATGTCATTTTCTATCGAATAAAGTAAAAAAATACCGAGAGTCAAAATCAAAAGTTGTAGTCATTTCCGGTGAAACAAGAAGTGACCAAAAACAATTAAATACGTCAATCAATCCTAATTTATGTCATATTCTGATATACCAAATCTCGTTTTTTTATCTAAAAAAATAAAAAAATTATAGGGGTGGGCCACTTTTGAGACGCACCCGGTATAATTTTTGCAATTCGACCCCAAATATTTTCGATTGGATCCAGGTCCATTGTCAGGGCTGTTGGCTGGCCAAAGAAGAGTTTCTATATTATGGTTCTGCAACCAGTGGTGAACAGCGTTAGCAGTGTGTACTGGACAATTGTACTGCTGATACGAGCCCTAACAACTATATGTTGGGACAAGGTCATATTATCGAATTATTGCACTGGTTTTTCAAAATGACTGAAAAATATATGTTTAATTTTTTAAATATAAACATAACCATATATCCTAAACAACTTGACAATATTTTTATGAATTTGTAAATCAATCCATATTTACAGTAGCGGATTTTGTTCATAAAAAGACAAATTTGCTGACAACTAAATGTTGGGACAAGTATTTTTAAATAATTAATATCATCATAGGCGGCTTTGCTATAAACGTCACAAATGTCGCAAACTGTTTACTTCAGCATTGACAGCTTGTTAGTGACTCGATACCATAGATAAATGCAACAAGTTTAGATTGGAAAGCCCGTAAAAATGTTGGGCCGCGAAATTATTTTGGGTCGCGACCGTTATACGCGATCTGGCGCTGCTATAGCGGTCGCTATGAACAACGGCAAACAAAAACAGAAATAATTCTCTCTTGTCAAAGTCGGAATCTTCAAAAATCATAATAATCTTTCAAAATCTAAACCGCTCTCATTAAAGAAATTCCGAAATGTGTTTATAGCATCCATTTTCAAAGTAATTATTGCTATCTTGTGAGTTTAATTCAAGTTTTATTTACTCCAACCGGTGATAACTGTGAAAAAGTGGCATTAAAAACTTAAAAAGCTGTGCTGTGAACTGTGAACTGCAAAAACCATCGTGGATCGTGGCATAACGTCGGTTTTCAATGTTTCATAGGTATTTCGTACATGCGTAATTATATAAAATAAAGTTTCTTGTATGCAACACACTGTATTTTATTCATAAAATTAAACGAAAATAATAATAAATTTGAATAAACAATATTTGGCGATATAATTCCGGAAAAAGCCGAACGGCTCCGAAATTTTCAAAAGTTTTGGGTCGCGACCGTTGCAAGAATAGCGCCAAATAGTGTTTACATTGTCCTTATGGGTACTTTCCAATCTAAACTTGTTTCATTTATCTATGCTCGATACTTTGAGTATTATAGTGAGATTTACTGTAAGAAATTTTAATTTTTTTAATGTTCAATTTTGTTAATTCAATCCAAAGTAATGGTCCGTGGAAAAGCTACAAATCAAAAACTACGCGAAATTATCAATCGTCAATACAGTACGGGAAAAACAATTCGAAAAATGTCTGATGATTTAAGTATTCCAAAAACCACGGTCTTTAATATAATAAAAAAATACGGCGAATCTGCCAACGCAGACGTTAGAGATAAAAGTTCGGGAAGGCCAAATGTTGTATCTTAGAGAGATTTACGAAATTTAGTAAAAATTTGCAAGTCTGCGGGAAGAAGTACTTTTCGCGAAGTGACAGTTAAATGGAATACTGTAGCTGGTTTAAATATATCAAGAGAATGTTGCCGAAAATATATCCATAAATGTTGTCTGGGGTTTTACAAGGTAAACCTTATTTTGTGTGGATAATCAATTACCTGAAGATTATTGATACAAATTCTTATTTAGGCCAAAGAAAAACCGCTACTGACAGAAATTCAAAAGAAAAATCGCTACAATTGGACAAAATCTAAATTATCGTGGACACAAAATGATTGGAATAAGGTCATATTTAGCGATGAGTCTAAATTTGATGTTTGCGTTGGAGATCATCGAAAACGAGTAATACGAAATAAAGCAGAAGCCTTTCATAAAGATTGCTTAAAGAGGGTTGTTAAATTTCCTAAGGGGATTATGGTTTGGGGTTGCATGTCAGCGAGAGGTTTGGGCAAATTAAATTTTATAGATGGCACTGTTACCGCCCAAAAATATCAACATATACTTGAGACCTCACTTTTGCCTAGTGCTCAAGAATTGTTTCCAAACGAAGACTATATTTTCCAACAAGATGGAGCATCGTGCCATTCAGCAAAATCAACAAAAAATTGGTTCGGTAATAATAATATAAAAGTTCTATTCCATCCTTCAAGTAGTCCGGACCTCAATGTTATAGAAACTGTGTGGTATAAAATGAAGCAATATTTAAGAAACCACTTCAACGAACAATTTTTGATTTGCAGGCAAAACTGCAGGAAATTTGGGATAATTTTTCTCCTCAAATGTGCCAATCTTTGGTAAATACAATGCCATTAAGAGTTCAGGCAGTTGTTAAGGCGAAAGGTGATGTAACTCCGTATTAAACAAATTTCTTATTGTACTGTCCCAATATATAGTTGTCAGCAAATTTGGCTTGATTTTGTCAAAATAAGCTATTATCAAAAGTGATTTGTTTGCAAAGTTATAAAAATATAGTAAAATTGTCTAGATCATATTGTAATGTTTGAATTTAGAATAATAAACAAAATAAATTGAGTCGTTTTAACAAATTACTATTTTTATTGCAAAAAAAGACCTTGTCCCAACATATAGTTGTTAGGGCTCGTAAGTGAAGTCGTTAAAGATAAAGACGAAGACGTGGAAAACCTGTACCGATGGCAGCATAACATTTTCAAGGATTTCGACATACCGTTGACTATTGAATCTTCCTTCAATTTGCCAGAAAATTTACAAACTTTTAGCGCTAAACCATCCCCACATATTAATAGAAAAATGTCCAGCCTTTTTAACTTTATGGGTGTATCCGGGGTGAAATCTCCAATTTGGTGGTCGATAAACTAAAACTTTCCTGCTGCTCGAACATGATTGGAAAATGTTTTCGTCAATAAAGACAACACGCTCCCAATAGTTATTATCCTGAAGAATGTTGTTGAGTGCAAAAAGTTAAAAAAGGTTTTTTGCAGCAACTCGACAGGAGATTTGAGATTTCTTAACTCTTCTGTTAACTGTTGACAAAGAACCGGGAAACATTGTCACATTAGCTGCTTCAACCGATGTTGCAAAAGGATTTTGTCTTAGATGATCAATACGCCTCTCATCTTGGACTTCAGAACTTACTTTTGGTCGTTCTGACCCTTATTTCCGATCCGTCGAATTATGTTCAATCCAGCGATTTTTCCATCTTATTGTCATCATCTTATCAACTCCAAAATGAGTGGCCGCTCTCCTAATCGACCATCCGTCTTCTGTAACTCGTGTGATAATATGAACTTTTGTAAAGGATGATATTGGCGCCATTTTTAACTGAATTGACGGAATGTCACCGCGAATTTGTTCATTCCAAACAGGTGGTGCTTTATTGTAACGAGGTGTATACACTAACGGAAAGGGGGATTTTACCACATTTTTAAATTTTGTGGGATAGGAAAAATGCGTGTATCAGTTTTTTTTTTAAATCAACTGTACCTATAATACAAACTTTTATACAAGTATTTCTGATATTTTATTATTTTATATGACAAAAAAATTAAATCTGATATACGAGAATCATGATTTAACATTTTATTTAAATATTTTTGCTACAAGTAAACTCACAACAACTCACAACAAACTTCAACAACACACAAACTAAGCTTTCAAAATAAGATCTCTACTTTTAGTGATGAGATAAATATATGTAGGTCTTTTATTTTTTAGGATATGTGTATTCCTACCCATTTTTGACTCCAAAATGTGGCATAGAGATTGACAATAATTGGGTAAAATATTTATATAAACACATAGTCAATATTCAAAATCCTACTATGGGATTTATAGGAATTACTTTCAAAGTATGTCCATTTCCAACAGTTGACATTCAGGTAAATATTTAATAGAAATAGCTCATAGTATTTAGATTATAAAAATAAGATAAATAGAACAAGATAAATTGGAATCGGAAGGTGCCCGGTGGCGTAGAGGTACAGGCTCTCGTCTACCAATCTCAAGGTAGTGGGTTCGAATTCCACACCCGACATTGCATCAGCCGACTATTTTTATTAAAATAAAAATAGTTTGGGTACCTAGGTCGACTCAGCCTTAAATGAGTACTTGGGATTCACAATCCTGAGGTAATAATAGGCGGTTGAAGCGTAATGCTAGCCACATTACCTTCCTTGTATACCGAACAGCTCTAGTATGGCAAGCTGTACCTTGCTACTCCCAAGGCGTTAAACGCTATATACGGGAGCTATTATTATTATTATTATTAGACAAATTGGAAAATTTAAGATGCAAACATTTTCATAAAATATTTACATAGATTCGTTAGAAACTTCAAAATTTAGTTGTATTTTTCTAATAGCCTTCTATAACTTTCAGATTCGGTTTTTCCTTGAATTCATCAAGAACACTAACCGATATTCCCAAGAAGAAATGATGAAGGATATTTTGAAGGACGTAGGCAGAAGGAAAGAACAAGCGATGCCTAAGCACCATATTCACAAAATAGGAATGAAATTCCATCGTCAGTACTTCAACGATTTGGCAGATACTGTACACATAAAAAGAGTGAGACCTGTTATCCATAATCTCTATGAGCATTTGGCGGACAGTAGGGACATTAATAAGAGATACAAAATTGTAAATGATGATGAATTTTTGGAATATTATTAGATGTACAAGCGAAATGTACAGGGTGACAGTTTATATTGAAATGAAATTTTGTGATTAAAAATACGGGGTGTCCCCAAAAAAAGTTACATATCAAAATTGTTTTTTTTTTGTAATGGAACACCCTATACATTAATTTATTTTCGGATTTTGGATTTCGGAGAATAAAGGTGAGTTTTATAAGAGAAGTTATATGACTAAAATGTAAGGTTTTGATATATGTATATATAATTTTCTAGAAATAAAGAACAATTTTTAAATTACAATAAAAGCTACCTAAATTGGAATTTACCCGGTATAGCCTAATGTGTAGTTAAATTAACTATTGTACTTTAAATCAAATTAAAATTTGATCCAAAAAGTTATACAGGGTGAAACAAAATTAATATTGAACATTGGTCACTTTTAAAAGCATGTTACTCTTTTATTTTAAATGGAACACCCAATATATTATTCCGATATTCAATGAAGAATTCATGTTTCTACAAAATACTATTAAGGTTGCCTACCCCTCAAACAAAGATTTTTCTAGATATTTTCATTTACATGATTTGATCTGAGTAGATCTTTATTATTTGATAAAATCTAGGTGGCTGTGATATATCTGACGTTACTTCAACATAGCTGTCTAATTAGTCCAACTTTAACAACTAGTTATCATTTTGTGTTAGTTACAACATAAAAAAAATTCTCAGAAATTTGCCGAAAATGCAAACTTATCCGACATCAGAAAGAATTAATAGAATACTTAAATGCTCCTCATTTTATCTAATCTGGATTTTTTATGGGGATATTTTAAAGACAGTATTTACAAAATTCGACCAACTATTGTCGACAACATGAGAGAAATTATTGTAGGTGCTTTTCGAGGTAGAACAACTCCACATATGCCTTTTAAAATGAAAAGTTCCTTTTGAAAAGACAATCATTTTATGCAGTTAACAGGAAGGGAAGCATTTTGAGCATTTGATTTCATCTAGCTAATTTTTGTCACATTTTACGGTTGTCACGGTTTATATCTAGTTTTAATTTCGTAATAATTAAAATATGTTTTAAACGTGTATCTTTTTATTACCGTTGAATATTTTACTCTACAATATTTAATTTTTGTAATTAACCGTTATCACACAGCCACCCTAGATTTTTTCAAATAATAAAGATCTACTGACGCAAAATCATAAAAATTGAAATATCTAGGAAAATCTTTGTCTGAGGGGTAGGCAAACTTAATAATATTTTGAAGAGACATGATTTGAACCCCATTGAACACCGGAAAAATATACGGGGTGTACCATTTAAAATAAAGGAGTAACTTGTTTTAAAAGTGACTAATGGTTTAACATACAATGGTTACTGTAATTAAATATGAGGCTATATATAAGATCAACTAAAATTTAGGTATCTGTTATCGAAATTTAAAATTTACTCTTTATTTTTACAGAATGTGAAATATGTCAAAATCCTTAGATTTTAGGTACAATGCTTTTTTAATAAAACTCACCCATTTTTTTCATAGAATCCGAAAATCAATTAATTTATAGGGTGTTTCCATTAGGAAAAAAAACACAACTTTAATGTGTAACTTTTTTTGGTGACACCCTGTATAATTCTATATATTTTTATAAAACGCTTTCAGTTTACCTACATATGCTACCAAAATTCCATTCCGATCTAAACTACCGTTCTCCTTGGAGCTTCCGCAGCGTATGAGAGGCACTACCCTGTATAAACTAGCGAGATGTCTACCGACATCTCATTTTTAAATTATTTGCTGTGGAACAAAATTATATTTTTTATATTATATGACATTTTTATATATATAATTATCTTGTTATATTATATGACATTTTTATATGTCTAAATATGTGTTTATAGTTCTCTAAAAGATATGTATTATGTATAATAAAGTCATATTGATTATTTTACATTACATCTTGATCAATTAGTCTAAAGATGTAGAATATTTAAAATTTACTATTACACTATATTCACACTGCCGTCCAGTCATCCGACAGTCAGGTCTCGATCTGTTCAAAATATTGTCTCCGAGAAATTCCGCGGTCAAAGAGCGTGAGCGTACCGTGAGCTGATTTGCAAATGTGAATGCTCCGTATAAATTACATTGAATAATAAATTTTGACCGTGAGCGGACAGTGAGCGTACTGTGACTTGAGCGCCTAGTGGAAATCGGCCTTTACCCTTGTTTATACAGGGTGTCTTAAATAAATACAAATATTTTCAGCGCTGTAGATCTCGATAAAAAAACATTTTCTCTTTGCCGTTTTTCAAATAACTCCAAAATAACCGAGTTATTTTATTTTGAAAATTTTACTTTGAAAGAAACTCCAGAAACGACTCTTTTCTGGATTTTCTTTCGGGTAAAATTAATCTACTACCAGTGCCGACTCGTCTGGGTAGGCAAGGTAGGCGGCGCCTACCCTAAGATTTTGGCTGAATTTAAGCGATTTATTACACTACATTATTTACCATTAATATTGCCAATACATAAAGATACTGTTAATACACGGAAGTGTGTTTTAATAATCAATATTATTTTAATATTTGTGGTCTAGTATATTAACGATATTAACATATTCACTAATGCTGGCGTAAGCTGACAGCTGACTGTGCCGCTGCGTTAGAAAACAAAATAAGTTTGACCATTGTATCAGAGAAGAACAATCGTAGAGAAACGACAAAAACCGTCGGCACTATTGAAGTGAGGGGGACCAAGTTTTGTGACCTTCAAATTGGCGTATTTGAGAGATCGCCGGTTTATAGCTACAGTGAGAGAAATTCAATGAAGGCAAAAGAAATGAAAAAAGCTATACACTGAAGAAACATGTGTTCAACAAAAAGTATATTATAAATATTTTAGAGGGACATTGTCAAATTGTATCTGATAATATTGTTTGTTTCGAAATTAATATTTGAAAATGTTTTTTTAATCAAAATTATAAATAAAACAATTTTAAGAAAATTTCGAATATTTATCAGCTGTTATCACAAGAGTTAAAACAAACCAAAAAGTAAATAACATAATTAGAGTTGAGGGTTGGACCAGTGGCGAACTAAGCCTGTGGGGGCCCGGGGCGGCGAAGCTAAATGTGGCCCCCGGTCTATATATAAAATATTTTTAAATCGAAAAACAAATGCAATTTGATGTAATAAAACAAGTAAGTGCAAAAGTAAAGTGTTTTGGTGTACTGTGGTGAATTAGTGTTTTATTTTTCTGTTGTAACACCAAAGGTTCCATTCCCAACTGTAATAAATTAGAGGTATTAAAGTGCTGAACATAATTTTGCTAACGGGCCATATACTACCATTCACGGGCAATGCAGTATTAGATCGGGAAATCCCCGAGCGGAATGTTCGCATGTATTTAATGGCAACTTATTATGATGACAAAGTGATGAAAATACCGGTTCCACATATGAGCCGCGTTACTTTCGCTACCGTCCTCCAAGATCCGAGGGGCCCCTTCGCTGTCTCAGGCCCGTGGCCCCCGTTATACTAAAGACTTCACTGCTCATCATCGGTATAGAAGCTAGAATACAAGTTATGCTGTGCATTGGTTGTAATTTAAAATGTTTATTCAGTAAAAATAAATAATGAAACCCTTGAAAAATAACTTAAGAGCTAAAATAAACAAATTCAGTTTCAAAATATATAAAAAATTATAATTATTCCATATTTTAAACAAAGAAAATTATCCCTTTACTTAATTTCCTAAATAGAAAATGACATTGGCAATTACTGGGGCCTGATAATTGGTAATTAAGTAAATATCTGCTTCCATTTATACTGTTTATAGTTGGCGTATATGTATGGTTTGCATACTCCACCTAGAAACTGCTTCATAACTACTGAACACATATTGGCCTTATTTGTCAGTTGAATAAAAAATTACTTATTAAGAATCGGAGGCCCCCTAAAAGACGGGGCCCGGGGCGGACCGTTTCTTCCGCCCCCCCCCCGCCCCTTAGCCCTTGGAACGTGTTACAACAGCAAAATAAAACACTAATTTACCACAATACCCCAAAACACTTTACTTCTGCAGTGCATCAGCAGATGATTAAAACTAAGAATGCATATGATTAAAACTATGTAACTGTATATTAAAAAATCATACTTTACATAAAAAAAACATATTACATTTAAAGATAACACAACTTAAATTAGCGTCGCTAATATATTGTTAAGGTCAAGGTGTATTACTGGTTGCATAACCGCAACGTGCATTGAGGAACCTGGCGAATTCGGCAGAAAGTAAAAGAAAATTACAGAATTCTTTAGAAAATTCCAGAAACCATCGCCAGGGGGTATATAAGGCCCGCGCTTTGGCCGCTTTGACAGTTGGACAAGTCTGAAGATAGTCTGAAGTCTCAAGAACGGTAAACTAATAGGATTGCTCATCCTCATAAGACGTACGTTCGCCTCTTCCCGCGCTTCAGCTGACAGTTGTGACGTCATTGTAGCCCTTGTTAAAGCCTTCGTGGCCTTGTCATGATAGTGTGTATTATTAGTTGCCTATGGTAAACTTATAAAAATAACAGCTGAGAAATTTTGAGTTAATTATTTTGTCAATTTTAAATGTGAAAAAGGTGTCTTTAAAGTTTTTAGAGCTATGGAGTGTATAAATACGTTCATTTTGTGTTGTGGATTGTGACAAAGTGCATACTAAGTGCCCACGATTTTGTTTATTAATTATTTTAAAGCAAAATATGGAAGTACTCTAAAAAGAATGCTTGCAAAAGGTGATACACTGGGAACTGCTGTTCTTAAAAATGCATTATCCGAGTATTTAATACGATTTATACAGTTAATTTTCTATACTGCATACATATAAGGTGTTTAAATAAATAAACTAAATAATGAACGTTTTGCATTCGGTAACCAATAATGCACGTGTGTGTATTATTGGTTGCCGGATAAGGACTAATAACCATGACAAGGGCTACAATGACGTCACAAAGCGAGTAGTTTTCGCATGCACCTGGCGGACACTTTTGGCTGAATGAGCAGTCCTATTAGGTTAACTGTTCTTGTGAAGTCTGAAGCCGTGTCTGAAGTTTGATAATACCGCGA